TTAATCCAACTTTATTTCAAAAATTCTTTAATTGCTTTGGCTCCTCTACAAATTCGTCCAGCTTCTCAACCATCACAGATTTTATATTCTTCATTATTATCTCATCATCAACAGAAGAGACAATTTCAGTGATAAAATCGGGTGGAAAAGTTGAAGATGATGGATGACTCTTCTAAGAGGTAAGAGAGGAAGTGTTGCCACACAATATTTCCATGCTTTGTTGAGTTTATATTCACACCAACAGAAACTCACAACCAGCAAAATTGATGCCAATGAAGGGAAAAAAACAAGAGCTTGCTCGTGGCTTGGTCTTCATATCCTTGATCTTGTGGTCCGACAGATGTTCACCTTCTCGTACAGCAATCTCCTGCTCTAATCTGAGCTCTGTCCATTTTTGGAAATTTACAAACAGAGAAGTTCGATACAGTCGCTCTGTGTTTTCTTGTGAAGCTTCTCTCTGTGTGCATGCTTGGAACAGCCATGCTTTACCTCTCAGAAGTTCCACAATCTGTTCAAATCATCAGCGTATATGCCTTTGTGTTTCACGCATGTCCAATATGATCTTGGACGACTCAGATTGACTCACCGATGCATGGTTGGTTGATTGTCGTTGCCTTTCATTTTTTCCTGTTCATCCCAATAGCAGCGGCTGGCGTCACTGGGAATCCGCTGCTCAGATACCACTTTGTCAGGTGCCCGGCCCGACTTGTTAAGAAATTAAGGAAGAAGAAGAGTTGTAGCAGAAACAGTAAAAATTTAGGAGAAGATGAGAGCAGAAACAGGGAGAAGATTGATTAAGAAGAGAAAGGAGAAATTGTTGTGGACAGTGTAATTTCAATTAAATTTCCTTGCCTAATCACTTTCCACTGTGCCCTATTTATTTCCTTCTGCTGAAATTACTAGGAACTGAGAAAACAAAAATAAAAGAAATAATAACCCCACATCTTCTCTAATGACACCTCAGCCTTATGTGTCACCTGGGTCCTGACATAGTGTTTTATAGCAGGACCAGTAGAATACTAACCGTCCTAGACCATGGATGCTAGACACCATGCAATTCAGTTCAGGAAACAAAAGTAAGAGTAATGTCAATTGAGATAGAAGGACCAGGAAATGGCAATGCAAATATAATATGGCAGAAACTATTAAAGAGAAGTAGAAGCATACGTACCGGATAACTTAAACTATTATAATTGGGTTCTCCAACTAGCATCCTTATATCCAATAATCTCCATTGAAAATCAGAATCACCTGAAAAATAATACAAGTTCACTTTTCAATACAATGGTATACTGAGTTCTCCAACTAATAGTTCAGCCATCTTTTGTTTCAATAATCCACTGAGATAAATTACCTGAATAATAATAGAAATTCTTTTTTGCTAACCAATATAGAAATATTGAAACTTCTGAGTGATAAATAATCAAAATAACTTTTACTTAGATGCCAACACAGAGTTGAAGTCATGCCACGTGATTTTTACATAATACCAGGCATTGTCTATCTCTTCCTCAAAGAAATGGACTGACGGCAGCTAACAAGCTAAAACAACTTCAAGACAAAAAAAAAAAAAGGCACCAAAAGTAATCGTGGCTTTTACCAGGTCCTTGAAGCTTGAAAAGCATATCTGACTTGGAAAGTCACCAACAAAAGGAAAGAACTCTTGTCAAAACCAGTCTTCATAAGACCAAATACTCATACAGTACAGTTATGGGCGAGTAAAGTAACAGCCATTGGGCTTAATAAGTTTGATTGAGAGCTGAAGAATGTTAGATTTAGTTTGGATCTAAACTCCCCAAACTGCAAATGGATTGAGTTGCCCCAAGTATACTTTGACAATGGCACCTAAAGGCTGAAACCAACAGAACAATTCTGCTTTCCAAGCTTTCGTGCAATAGGATTGGAGATCCTTCGCAATTCATCAATTGACATTTCCATTAGTGACGCTCCATAAACAAGAAATATCAATGTTGATCTACTCAAACAGCAACGGCTCTTTGAGTTGTTGGTCTAAGATACTTAAGGCACTGTAAATATTGTCCCTTTGAGGGTGAGAAGAGTCTCCAGCAATAAAAAAATTCTTTCTCCTCTGCACTTCAATCCAGCTGCATCCTGCTGGCTTTTTCAGATCTCTCGTTCTCATTAGTTTTCTCATTTCAACTACACGATCCCACCTAGAGTCTGCTGCATATAGGTTAGACATTACGACATAGTTCCCAATATTATTAGCTTCAACCTCAAAAAGATGATCAGCCACAACACGGCCCAAATCTACTTCATGATGGATTCTACAGGCACCTAGTAATGTGCCCCAAACATTTGCATTAGCTTCTGTGGGCATTCCATTTACTAAAGAATATGCTTCATGAATTCGACCTCCTCGAGCAAGGAGATCCACCACACACGAATACTGTTCCATGGTAGGTTTCATCCTGTGAACCTTCTCAATAGAATAGAAAATCTTCAAGCCTTCATCTATTAGCCCAGTATGGCTGCAAGCAGAGAGTATAGCAGTAATAATCACATGATCGGGCTTCACACCCAATTCCAGCATTTGTGAGAAAACCATGAGAGCTTCATTTCCCATACCATGGATGGCATAAGCACCAATCATGGCAGTGAACACAACCAGAT